GCTCAAAACATAGACTCCACAAAAGTCATTATTAGACCTTAGTTCTATTGTTCTATTTTTAATTTGTATTTTTATATTACTAGTTTATACCTAGTTGTACTTTAGTTCATTCCAGCACAACACATAGACAACATCAACTTCATTATGTGTAGTAGTGACTATTTATTTTTTATTTTTTTATTTTATTTCCAATTTGAGCACACATACAGAGGTACAAAAAAATACAGACAAGAGCAGTACGCCAAAGCCACTTATACTATGCATAGCATTACGGGCTGGCTTAAAATTAACTTAAGATTAACTAAGCAATGATGAAATCAGTGATTAAACATTAATGTAAACAGATTACTATAAAGCACAAGTGAGTATTACAAAGACAGGTCATATGGTTGCTTGCATTGTTGTACATTCAGTCGTATGGAGTATTCTGTTAGGTAGTGTATTTAAAAAAATAATAAAGTTAGATTGGGTTTTAGGTTTAACATTTATGTGATATAATTGTGAGAAACATTTAAGATATACAATTATAAGGTTCAGTTATTCAGTATTTATTGGTTTTGGGTGAGTAAGTGATCTTGAGAAGAGACTTGAATTTATAAACAGGTAGTGTTTCTTTTATATTTACAGGTAATGAATTCCAGATTTTAGGGCCTTTTATGGCATTGAGTTTTTGCATAGTGTGAGATGGACACGAGGAACATCAAAGAGTGATCTGTGCCTTGTGTTATGGTCATGTGTTCTGTTGAGATTGGCAAGGAGATGTTTGAGGGGAGGGTTAATATCAGAGTTAAGTGTTCTATGTATGTAATAGGTGCAGTAATAAGTATGGATGTTTTGTATGGTGAGTAGGTTTAGTGTATTGAATATTGGTGGAGTGTGCTGCCTGTAGTGAGAATTTGTTATCATTCTAACTGCAGCTATACCCTACATGACCAAAATACTCTAGCTATATACTTGTCCAAACTTCCTACCACTACAGATATCAGTACTAGAACTCAACACACAACTCAGGATGTAAATAACCATAATTTAAACCTAGAAGATGATTGATCACGTTGACCCTGATCTAAACCTCCATAATCTGACACCCAATCAAAACCTATTGGAAAGTAACTGCCTTTATTACACAGCATCACAAGCCACCACTATCCTAAACAATGCTAAAAGTCTATCAGTACTTAACTACAACATCAGGTCCTTAAGCAAACACTATGATGACCTCCTAGCACTCCTTGAATCACTAAAGACCCCCTTCTCCTGCATTATTCTTACTGAGACCGGGCCCTTAAGCAGGACACAATAGATATCTACCCTCTACCAGGATACACAGCAATTCACAACTGCAGACCAAACCAAGTTGGGGGTGGTATTGCAATCTATTACTCTAACCAATTATCTTGTCTTAGCACCACTTGCTTTAGTGATGAATATGGGGATACATTTTTGCTAATTTTACTGTAAAAAACCTTAAGACGCCTATAACAATCGGTGCCATTTACCGGATACCTCACACAAACATCCCAAATTTCAGTGAGAAATTAAAGTCACTAATAACAAACAGACAAATGAATAAGCACCACCTTCTCTTAGCTGGAGACTTCAACATCAACCTTGGCTTACTAGATGATCAGCCTGTAACTGATTTCATCAACAATATGAACAACACACTTCTCATACCAACAATAACTAAACCAACCAGGCTCACTGAGACAAGTGCAACCATAATAGACCACATATGGACCAATATACTAGCCCCTTAAATCAGGGATAATCACAGATAGCACTACAGACCACTACCCTACCTTCCTCCTGACAAACATTAGTAAACCACCACTTGAATACAACAAAGTCTCATTTAGACTCCATGACGAGGCCTCAGTAAGGAAGTTCACAGCTGACCTAGAGACTGTTGATTGGCCTACAGAATTATCCAAGGCCAATGGTATTGATGACTGGACAGACATTTTTCTTAACAAATTACTTAGACTATACAACAAACATTGTCCTATAAAAACAAAACAGATCACAAACAAACGGCTTGGTTGCCCATGGCTAACCAGCACCATTCTGAAATCCATTGACAAGAAACACCAATATGAAAAGCAATATAGACAGGGCTTAATACACAAAGATACTCTTAAACACTATTCATCAGCTCTCACCAAAGTAATAAGAAAGCCAAACAACTATACTACACCAGTAGATTCACAGACACTAGAGGAGATATAAAAAAGACCTGGAAAACACTCCCCTCAGATTCTAGGGACCCACAAACTGAGAAAAACCAAGAATATTGTCCTAACTAAACCTAATGAAACACCACTACATCCCACTGACACAGCTAACAAGATAAACGACTTCTTCTCAAACATAGGATCTAATCTCGCCAGTAAAATCCCACATACCAATGCCCATGCCGGGGACTACCTAGATGGGAATTTCCCTAATTCCTTCTATCTTGCACCAACTGAGCCCACGGAAGTCATTGAGATTATAAAGTCACTTAAAAATAACTCGGGGAATCTGTCTCATGTCCCACCATTACTGTACAAGCGAGCGGCCCATGTCCTTTCGCATGCAATTTCATTTTCTTTTTAACAAGTCACTAGAGACTAGCACCTTCCCGAAACTACTCAAGATGGCAAGGGGTTTCACCAATACATAAAGGTGGTGACCCTACAGACTTAAACAACTATAGGCCAATATCTAACTTACCATTGCTATCCAAAATCTTTGAGAAACTCGTGCACAGGAGACTGTATTAATTTATAACGGCTCAAAACATACTCAACCCCTGCCAATTTGGATTCAGGAAAAATAAACGCACTAATGATGCAATCATAAAAATGCTAGATCTGCTTTACACAGCATTGGAAAATAAGGAATATCCACTAGGAATTTTTATTGACCTAAGAAAAGCTTTTGACACAGTAGACCACGACATCCTACTCCACAAACTTGATCATTACGATATAAGAGGCCATGCGCTTGCTTATTTCAAATCTTACATTACTAATAGGTATCAGTACGTCACCATTAAAGACACAGCATCAGCAACACGGCCACTTGATACTGGAGTTCCGCAGGGAAGTGTCCTTGGTTTCCCCCGCTCTTCCTCATATACATCAATGACCTTCCAAACGTATCCAACACCTGAAACCCATTCTCTTTGCTGATGACACGACTTATGTCATCTCTCACCCTAATCTTGCCACCCTCAACACCATTGTGAATGAGGAGCTGATTAAAATATCGACTTGGATGACAGCCAATAAACTTACGCTTAACACTGACAAAACCTACTACATGTATATTATGTTTGGTAGTAGAGCAGGAGATGCACAAATTAACATTAAGATTGACAACACTCTAATTACCAGAAATAATGGGGGAAAATTCCTAGGCTTATACCTTGACAACAACCCGAATTTCAGCACCCATATCCAGCATATAACCAAAAAAGTATCCAAAACGGTTGGTATCCTCTCCAAGATACGATACTACGTGCCGCAAAATGCCCTTCTCACACTATACCACTCACTTATTTATCCATACCTCACCTATGCTATTTGTGCTTGGGGATCAACTGCAGCAACACACCTAAAGCCAATAATAACCCAACAAAAAGCTGCAGTAAGAATAATCACTAAATCCCATCCCTGGCAACACACCCCCCCACTCTTCATAGACCTAAACTTACTCCCAGTTCAGTACATCCACACTTACTACTGTGCAATCTACATCTACAGGGCCTTAAACTCTAATATCAACCTTGACCTAAAACGCTTTCTTGAAAGTTGTGACAGAACCCACAGGCATAACACCAGACACAAACATCTCTACGACATTCCCCGTGTCCGACTAAACCTTTACAAAAATTCAATGTATGTCAAAGGCCCTAAAATCTGGAATACCCTACCTGAGAACTCTAGAACTGCAGACACATTCATCACCTTCAAAACTACCATTAGAAAACATCTTATCTCCCTGATACACCCCGTCAACTAACTACACGAATATCACCTGGTGGTTCACACACTCACTCACTCATTTGACCATAAACAGAAATATTAATCTCAATCTTAAAATAATGAATCCTGTGATACTCCAATACTGAAACTATGTACTGTGCCAAAACAAAAGCATTCACATTGCTAAACTCACAAACTAGTATTTAGTCACTTAGCCATAATACCAACTTACCTCATAATTTGTAATATTTTACAATTAAGAATTAAACTAAGTCTGCCCGAAATGCCTAGCCATGCTAAGCGTTCTAGTGGTACACTCTGTAATCACAATTTTACTACATGTAAACCACACAATAACCAAATTTCTGTAAACTCAGCATTGTAATCCTTATAGAGAATTAACTTTGAATTTGAATTTGAATTTGAAAAAACAAATCCACTGCCGGGTTCGTATGTAAGCATTAGTATTGTGGTCGTGGGGGACTTGCACACCTTTACACGTTGATAAATTAGACACATGTGCAACTCTTGGGTATCTTTATTGAGGAAACGTTTCGCCACACAGTGGCTTCATCAGTCCATACGTGGGAGAAACTTGAAGAACAGGAGGAGAATGAGGTAATCAGTCCCTCAACCTTGAGTCGATGTGTTCAGTCCATCAATCTTGAATTCTATTCAAGATTGATGGACTGGAACCCATCGACTCAAGGTTTGAGGGACTGATTACCTCATTCTCCTCCTGTTCTTCAAGTTTCTCCCACGTATGGACTGATGAAGCCACTGTGTGGCGAAACGTTTCCTCAATAAAGATACCCAAGAGTTGCACATGTGTCTAATTTATCAACATTTCGGTTCTCTGAACCATTCATCTACAAACCTTTACACGTAAATCTATCAGTTTGTACATAATGTACAAACTGATAGATTTACGTCTTAAGGGTGATTTAGGTAGGCTTAAATTGTTAGTAAATAATAATATGTGAAAGCTAGCATCTCTGTACGAGCCAGGTGAGATGGGGATTCACAAGATGCCAATTAAGTAAGTTTATTCAGGTATACACAAATACAGTTATATAGATTATCATACATAGCAGCATATGTGTAGAGAACAGAGGTCAGGATAACTCAGAGGAGCTCTAAGCTCAGTGACCCATGCTGTCTGCAAAATACTTTCCCTGGGCGCCAGAGAGTATAGAAGTAGAGGCTCCTGACGTACTGTGGACATTTCAGTCTCTATACCAGGTTCCCATAGTGAGACAATTATCTGCTTTCAACTTAGTAACAAGGTCGGCCGATGTCATTTTGGGGAACGGAGGGTAATTTAGCTACGAGTTACGTGTGGGCAAAAGTCCAAATACGAGGCAATTACGACCAGCGTTGCTGAGTAATTATCCCTTGGATATTAAGCCAGAAGCTAGTTATCCTTTGTGTATATAAATATTCGTTAGTGGAACCCCAATGAATTCAGGGACCCTAGAAGTATATGCTGGGGGTACTAACACATTTCAACTGTACAGGTGCCATTTCTTCTATGCACGTGGCATCGTGAAGAGGGAAAAGTCATTAGAAACCTAGATTAGTCTGGATAGAATTGGGATTTCTAGCTAGCATAGACTCCATAACACAAGGAAATCTGTTCTGGTTTGTGAATGGAGACAGGAATTTCCTGTAGGTCAGTTAACCGTCTCAAAAGAAGTATAGGTCAGAGGTACTTGGGAGAACAAGACAAAGGAGTCTTGTGTTATCTGTGTCAACAGTGATTGTTAGAGTGGGCATCTCACAAGTTCCCACGTGCACACTATAAAGCTACTTAATGAAACAGGAAGAATCAATCACTATATGGGGATACTATTCTGGGGGAACAAGGATAGGAGATGTAAGGAAATATGCCCAACGTTTCCACCCATGCCGGAGATTGAATCACGGGCACTCAGTGTGTGAGGCGAGAGCGTTGCCAACCGAGCCACAGGACACTCGTCACATGTACCTATTCCGACACCTCGTCACAGACCGTCACACTTTTCCTTCCTGTCAGGTATGCACTGGTCCTTTGTAGTGTTTTTCCTGTTATTCCGGCCTACTCCCCTATCTCTGGTGCGGTACTGTGATACTGTGTTTACCTTACGTGAGTTACGTCAGCCACAATTAAACGGTATTAACTTTATTGACTTCGAGATACCCGAGACCTGCTGCGCTGTGGGTTGTTCAGACAGAAAGAGGACAGAAAACCGTGTTTTCTTATGCATCCTTGTCGTTAAATATCAAGAAAAGTGGCTAGATTCACGCGAATACCATTTATATGACTAATGTTACAAACTATTTCTTTGCCTTGATTTTCAAATTCAGATTGAGTATGAAATTTTGAAACAGACCTGATCATCTGTTAAAATGACTGTTGAAAAATCTTCATACTTTCGATAAACTGGTGTTCTCCTTCCAACATTTTACTTCAGTAGAGATTTGTTAATAGTTCTGGCAGGTTCAGCAAAACAGTTCGTGGGATATACAGTACCTATCAGCACCTATTAATAATTGTTTTCAAATCAGATGTTTTCCAGTAATTGGAATGTGGTTCGTCCGCCTTTCAAGAAGTTTTCCCTTGATGCAGAAAACATGTCATGAGTGTGTTACTGTCAATTTGTGGGATCAGTGAGAGATATAGCTATTTAACTGGATTCTTCATTGTCATTTGTTGGACACATCAACCAAATTGTTAAATCTTGCAATTTTCATATTCGTAATATCTGTGTAGTCAGAAAATATCGCGTTTGTTTCCTCTTGAATTTATTTGTGCAGTCGTTTGTGGATTTGCCTAAATACTTGCTAAAAAGACTTTGTCGACTGAATCTTGTATTTTCGCTCCTAACCGGGGTTCCTGTTAGTCCCTACTTGCAACAGCTGCATTGACTTCGTATCAAAGCAAGAATTCAATTTAAACTATGTTTAAATTGATGACTAGTGTCTCTTGAGTCAGAAATCTGTACATGTTTCTAAGTCTCAGTTGAAAACACATCTCTTTGCTAGAATTTATGATCCTGATGATCATACTCTCACTCTTGAATATAACCTTCAGTATTTATTCTTCATCTTTGCTGTTGCATTTATAGCTTAGTATGCTAATTTCTTGAAATAGGCACTAGAATTATTATTATTATTATATTATTATTATTATTATTATTATTATTATTAAAAAGAGTACGAAATCTTAAGCATTTCCAGAGAGCCCAATGTAACAAAGCTCAATCCTCGACACAAATCACGTTGATACCAGTTATTCAGTTAAAATATCTGCTTAGATTTTTACAGTATTGGATTAACTACCCATTTATCAATATAATTTATTTTATGCCTATATTAAGTGCTCAGAATACAATCTGTGAGATCGGTACGTGACTGAGTAACTGATGTCTTAGAAGACTTTATTCGGAGGATTAATTCAGAATTACTCAAAAACACTTTGGCTTATATCCATTGGGATCCTTATGTCATCCCCTGATATGCGACCCACTACAGTCGACTAACTGCTAGGTAATAAGGGTACAAATAAAAATAAATAAACGAAATTAAACAAAAATAGTGTACGCCAATAGGATGAGATTACATTATACCAAGGAATTTGCACCTAAAGTTTGTCGTAAAACGAATTCTAACACTTGCTTAATATCGGCATTCCTGTCTTACTCAAGCAAAGAGGATGACGGCGATACATTTGTGTCACACCTGCCATATAGTCATAGCCTTCTTGACGAGGGCTGGAGTCATCTGCATGCCGTGGGCCGGGGTGACATCTGCCATGTCTAGCAACTGCACTACACCTGTCACAGACATCTGCTCATCCTCCATCCAGAGCACGTCGCTGATTAAGTGTGTAGCCTTAAACACCTCTTCCATGGATGTGACCTTGGGGTCGTGCAGCGCGGTGCGGATGATAACTACCTTGCGACCTTCATTGTCGTAGCCAGGAAGAGGCAGAAACATCCTGCGAGACACCATCATCACATCCGTTAGTCCTTCGACCCCCCCCCCACCCCAAACACTAACTGTACACCACACAGCTACCGCTACTCGGAACACGCCCGCTTCACATATCTTACATGCTGTTACAAATGGATGGGTACAGATTTTGAGAGCCGGGGCCAGGGATCGAGGATCGACACCAAAGCCACAAACAGGCGGGTACAAACAGGTAGGTGAGTGCATCTACGACTATGGCATAACAAACACACACGCACACTAAAACACGGTAATAAGGTATTCTACTGAAAGTCATCAAAAATACTTAGCAGTTTCCTGAATGGAAAAGAAAGACTCTGTTATACAACGTTTACCTCGAAGGTGAGCTCTTCCAAGTATGACGTCAAGTGTGACTTCAAATGACTTCAGTTATAATTTCAAGAATGACGTCAGTTATATGAAAAGCTCACATTTGAACAAAACGTCATATAATCAACTTATTTTATGAAATAAGTACTTGTGAAACATAAGTTTTTGCATTTGTAATACAGCCAAGTTAATATGCAAATAGAAAACGCTGACTACTAGCACAAACAGGAAGAGCTGCTGTTAAACTGTCTTAGGGAGTTTCCCTCAGACTGACGAAGCTGTTCAAGGAAGCTGAGAAATGACGAATATAGTTTTGCTCTTTGTCAGCACTGTAATATGTATGATTGAGACATGTCTACTCTGGGATTTTTAGTGACAGTTTCTTCAAGAGACATGTGCCAGGTCAGGAGAGTATCGTGTGTAAGGTCAGTGTGCCTGTATGCAAGGTCAGTGTGCCTGTCTGCAAGGTCAGTGTGCCTGTCTGCAAGGTCAGTGTGCCTGTCTGCAAGGTCAGTGTGCCTGTCTGCAAGGTCAGTGTGCTTGTCTGCAAGGTCATGTGCCTGTCTGCAAGGTCAGTGTGCTTGTCTGCAAGGTCAGTGTGCCTGTCTGCAAGGTCAGTGTGCCTGTCTGCAAGGTCAGTGTGCTTGTGGATACACGTAATTTGCCTACTTGAGTTTACAGGGAAGGAGGGAGGTGAGCTCTGTCTCTTGGCTACATAATCGGTCATGTATGTTTAGTTTATAACAAAAATCATGTTAAGACATATCACATTGGTTTAGAAAGACACGTAAGCAAACACTGACATTTATTAGAAAACGTTTGGTCCTGGGACCTTGATCACTTCTAACATAGCAGAGGTAGAAAGGCATTATATATAGGCGGAGAGTGAGGTGTGAGTGAAGCATGGTGACCTGAAGAATGTCATGTTTGGATGAGGACGGGTAGACGATGAGATCATGTGACTCCTAGTGTTGTTGGGTTGGTGGTGCTTAGCCTGCTTGAGTATCATGTATGCTAATGTTTTAGAAATTTTGTGGTTTCCAGTGTTACGTTCTATTGTGTCGGTGACGGCGATTAGCGAGGCTTCTAGGCACCGTCGGCGTGAGGTCTGGTTCGGTGAGAACCCGGTTCATCAAATGCCCCGTGGGGGCATTTGATGAACTGGGATGAGGCACAACTCGGTCTCACCGAACCAGACCTGTCAAACCAAACATGTCATTCTTCAGGTCACCATGCATCACTCACACCTCACTCTCCGCCTATATATAATATCTTTTTACCTCTGCACGTTAGAAGTGATCAAGGTCCCAGGACTCAAACGTTTTCTAATAAATGTCAATGTTTGCTTACGTGTCTTTCTAAGCCAACTTGTCGGTATTTATTACCAAGGTTTATACCACATATCACATTACAACATGACAAAAAAAAAAGCTTTTATTATGACCGAAATATATTTTGTCACTAAAAGGTGGAAGGTAACATTTTATTCAGATACATGCAAGATTCGTCCTGGAAACCTCTGGGCAACTATTTTTTGAATACTAACCAGTGATACTGACTAAGTAAGATGTCTCCCGAATCGGTAAATTACACGAAGGATCTACATAGGTTGTAAAAAAAATATCGTGTCCGTAATCCACATTTTTTACCTTAACCCTCAGCGCCCAGGATCGAATCTCACAAGCACTCTAAAATTTCTGTTCTTTGAAGAAGAAAAATTGAGATCACTGTCAGAGCTATGTTATTGTGAGTCTTTTGGATATTCATTGAGTAATATATTTTCATTTTCTCATTCTCCAGTGACAGCTTTGAATTTAGTTTTTTTAATTATTATTTTTTAAAATGGAAAATGCACACAACATAATTCCAGTCAGGAAGCGGTATTTATTTGTCTTTGGATATCAGGTATTTGTTACCATTCTGGCAGAGAGTCTTGCAGTTAGAACATGTCAATTCTCCTTTGTAGTGCAGGGAGAACTTAATCTCGCAGGAACTCAGATGGTCAGTCATCTACCCACACACAACAGTGTTACAAGTTGAAATACCTTGTTCAATATGCATGTAATCTTTTTGTCCATCATCTCACACATTTTTGTTCAGTTAAGCAGAAATGAACCTCCGCCTTGAAAGTAATTGTAAAGTAAATGGACAAGTGCAACTAAGTGAATTTATGTGGCACGTTCGTCTCCAGAGCTTATCAAGCCATTGAATGGTTGTAAAGTCTGGAGAGCGAAACCTGTTGCACAAAAATGTCAATTAAGTTGCATTGTGTCCTTTTACTTACATTTGTGGTAATTACAAAACTTTATTGAAAGTAATGTGTAATCTAGAGAGTTTTGATCACCACGCATTGTCTTTAATCTTATCATGATACTGATTTCACGTTTTCTAATTCTTCATATTAAGTATTTTGGCGGTTATAAAACAAGACAGTCAAAAGTAATTGTTAGTGCGTTGCAGGACAAAAACTGGTGTACGGTAACATATCCTGGGTAAAAATGGGGTGGGAAAATAAGCTGTGTAGCCCGAGCGGCTTATTTATTGTGAATGTCATGCTAATTCTGTGAGCGGTAGCTCAAAGGAAACAGTATAAATTACCGAGGTAATAACGGGTGTTTATTAGTCTCCACTAAACATAGCTACATCTGTACAAATATTAAAATAATTTCGTATACTACTACTATACGTTCACTTCACATAGCTTATCTACACAATACAATATAATCAGAATGTCCAAGTTCAATAATCTAGCTGGTGCATAAAAGCGGATACAATCTCAAGATTTCAGATGTCTTGTCTCTGACTCTCTCCCCATTAGTAATTGCTTTAAATATCCCGAGATCTGAATGCAACATGCTAGCGGATGAAAACATAGTGGGTAAAGACTTACCCAATCTGGCTGTGATGTGTGGCTGGTGCTTGAGCCAGTCCCTGATGTGCTCGATGTCATCAGCTCGCCGCTCAGGGACCTCATTTATCTCCTCCTTTGCCCTCTGCAGCAACTCCTCGCTCAGGGTACACACATATTCCCCAACCATCTTCACCGCCACAAGTGCCACACGGTCTCCACTGAAAGTGCAATCTATAAATAACAATTTAAATTACAGAGATGGACAGTTAATCAGGCTGTTATCTGATAACATCTGTGTATCATCTTGTCCCCATGTACAATATATATACATTATACACATTCATATGCACATAAACACACAAGATGTCATTACATAATGAAGGCGGAAAGAGTGATTACATATATGCTGACATAAATGAGAGGCAATGAATGTGAAGAATGAAATAAAGCATATTTACTGTTGTAAGGTTTGGGGTATGCAAAAATGACGGGAGATGAAAAAATTAATAATGAGAAGAAAAGATAATCTAAGGGAAACAACATAATTCTACATCAAACAGAAGATAACAAAGTAAGAGACAGACAGGAGGAATAAGACACATGTACAACACTTGGGTAGCTGTGGAGATGTTTCACCCACCAGCGGCTTCATCAATCCAATGCAGAGAATAATACTGGAGAGGGTGAAAGACATGAAGTAGCTCGAGGTGATCAGTTCCTCAGCACTGATAAATCGGTTAGAGACGGTGGAAGATGTGAAGAGGAGTCTGAGGTGATCAGTCCCTCGGCCTTGAAGTGAGGTGTATAGTCCATCAGTCTTTATTCATCAGTGCTGAGGGACTGATCACCCTAAATTACTTCTTCCTGTCTTCCACCGTCTTCTGAATTATTACTTGCGTTGTTAAAGACATTGGTTGGCGAAACATCTCCACGATAAAGATACCCCAGGTATTATACATGTGTCTTATTCATAATATAATAATAATAATAATAATAATAATAATAATAATAATAATAATAATAATAATAATAATATCTTTATTTACTACAAGTACATGTACAAGATATACAGTCCTAGCTGACATCAATGACATACTACTATATAGAAAGCCGCTTGTTATGCTGAGTATTTCGGACAAACTAGGTCAGTTTTGTCCCAGGATGCGACCCACAACAGTCAACTAACACCCAAGTACTCATTTTACTGATGAGTGAACATAGACAACCGGTGTAAGGAAACATGTCCAATGTTTCCATCCCTTCATATATTTTTAGGTTCTATATACTATTAATATATAACAACCATGTAGAGAGAGATGGACGAGGGGAAAGAGACAGAGTGAAAAGAGATATTCTATTCTCTATGACATCAGTAAAATGACAATGGAGAAGAACCTGTACAACTCCACCCTACCTACACCTTTCCCGTACCCTCACCACCCCTTTAGTTTGATATTGAATTATGCACCCCATACCCATCCTGTGGGCGGTAGTCAAAAGATTACAGAGGTACATAATGGGTCAGGGACTGGGCCGCAAAGTTTTGATAGTTGAACAAGCTACAGTGGTAATGAACTGTTTACATGTTTATATATAGTTACAGTCGTAATGAGTTATTTATGCAGACATTAATTAGGTCACAGATACACAAAAATCCCTCCGTGACCCACAATTAAGCCTCTTCCCCAACAACCTCTAATATGCTTCATCCTACTCAACAATCGTCCTACCCAGCCCTCGCATTATCACCTGTGACCCACAAGGCTCCCTCTACCAACCTACATACAGCTAAAACCTCTCCCACTTTCTCTTCCCCCCTCCCCAACAAAACCGAAGAGAGGCAGAAATGAAATACGCAACAAGCAGAGAGAGAGAGAGAGAGAGAGAGAGAAGAATCACAAATGTGATGAACATGTGCACGAGTTCTCACAGGTACTCCTGACTCCGCCCACCCACCCCCTGTTCAGCTGACTGGATCAACCCACCTATCTTAAGGCAGCTGATCAAAGAAATCAGAAGGTACCTCCTGTTGCTTAACGTTAAGGGAACTTTACAAACATCAAATCAACCCCGCCCCATTGATGGGACAAGATTAGTTAGTAAGTGCCACGATAACTGACAATTTTAAATAATTATGTGATATATTAATACTGAAGGCAGATTAACACGAGTCTAACTCTGTTTCAGTAGCTACAGATAAGTAATAACAAATAGGTAGCATCATATTTTATCTGACAACACTGTTCGTCCTTCTCTCTGCACTGATCACCTGACGAAGGTGTAGACATGCATGTATACTGTATCTATACCAAGTTGCATCAGTCTGTGGAAAGGTCCTTGAGAAGTTACATGATAAGTTAGAGATGTGGGATAACTTATCGCGCCACTATTTATAAACTTTGAACCTTGAGACGAGGCTACAACTCCCGCAGCAAGCCAAGGACAACCTTGCCTTAGAAAAAAAAAAAAGGCCCAGAAAGTTGCAATTTTAAAATTTAATCTTATTTTCAGATCCAACAACCCATCTCTTGCATGATTTTGAAATCAAATGATCTTGAACATGCATCCGTAATGCATTTTGCTCTTAAAATTTTGTTTTATTATTCTAAAGGGGGGGGGGGAGGAATAGCACTACTGGTCATAAACACTGGAGGGTTGATTAACTGACCTAAGCATACTAATTTCTCAAGTACTGTACATAGTAGGAATGATACCATAGAAGGTTCCAGGATCTTTATGCCTGTCATATACAATCCTCCAAACAACAGAAGACATGCTAGAATACAGCAGAATTAGTGAAGAAATGATAAACATTACTGAAAAATGCTGAGGCTACTAACAGGGCTGGAATTCAACTACTGATCATGATTTCAACAATATGGAAATAGACTGGGAGAACTGAGAAACCTACGTGGAAATAAAGATGTGAAAAACCAAGCTTCTTCACTCGATGGTTCTGGTAGGTAAGACACATAGGCAACAGTTAGGCAACTTTATTCTACTACTACTACTACTACTATGCACCTCTCCTTGCGACAGTATTTAAGTCTCCGCACTGTCGCTTGATCTTCAGATAGTTCCTGGCTATGGAACTGAACTTCTCCAGGCCGAGGGACTGACAACCTCAAATTTTACGACTTCAAGGGTGATGGACTGATTACATCGTCTTCACATCTCTACTGTTCCTACCTACTTTCTGTATTCGACTGAAGAAGCCTACTGTGTAGGCGAAACGTTTCGGAATAAAGTTGCCTATGTGTCTTACCTACCAACCTGTCGGTATTGTATACCATTTTGATGTTCAACTCGATGGTTCTGTTCACCAATCCACTGGTGCAACTGGCAGTGCTGCTGTTGTCATACAGAGTGATGGCTCTCATAAAGGAATTGGAGCACGTATTAATAACTGGGTCTCTACCCTTCAAACAGAACTGTTTGCCATACTCCTTACACTCAAATGCGTACATGTATCTGACTTTAATTGGAACTGATTTTTTATCATTCATAAATGCTCTCAACTCAAGTATAAATTGTGGCATGCTTGCGTCAGAAGCTAGACACAGATATGGTAGGATTGTGGACAGTGGAGTTGGAATACACCTGTGGATTCCATCTCACACTGGTCTTAGATGCTTGATAGAACTGATAAATTGCCTAAGTTATATGCCTTCAGAGAGGGAGTAGAGTACAGTTTTGGGTTGTCATTTAGCAGTTTGAGAACAATAATACAAAAAGAACTTAAACTGAACTTTATTGACTGAGAGTTGACTGAGGGAGAGTGACACCAGTCAGTCCATCTAACATCATTCTATCATGCAGGAGCCACATGTCTATGGCGCATCCAGCACAGTAAGCAAACTTTTGGATGTCATTGCCGCCCGGCTCCGGCTGGTATACAAGTATCTTAGGCGGGTTAAATCACCACCATCAGATGTAGACCAAACGAAATGTAAACTTTCTCTGATGAACAATTGTCACACTTTGCATCATTGTGTGCTGGAATGTGATCAAATTAATGATGTCAGAGCCAACTCACTCAGATATGTCCAAGAAATGTCAAAGTATTTGATGCACTGTGATATATTACAAACCATTCTGGAAAATTACTCTGACTTCGCTCATTGTACATTAAGCATTACCACTTTGTGTACTCGCCTAATTGTGGTTGCAGGAGTCGATACTCAGCTCCTGGCCCCGCCTCTTCACTGAGTGCTACTAGGTCCTCTCTCTCCCTGCTCCATGAGCTTTATCATACCTCATCTTAAAGCTATGTATGGTTCCTGCCTCCACTACCTCACTTGCTAGGCTATTCCACTTCCTGACTACTCTGTGACTGAAGAAATACTTCCTAACATCCCTTTGACTCATCTGGGTCTTCAACTTCCAATTGTGACCCCTTGTTTCTGTGTCCCCTCTCTGGAACATCCTGTCTCTGTCCACTTGCCTGTTCCACGCAGTATTTTGTATGTTGTTATCATGTCTCCCCTAACCCTCCTGTCCTCCAGTGTCGTCAGGGGTGTGTGTGTGTGTGTGTGTGTGTGTGTGTGTGTGTGTGTGTGTGTGTGTGTGTGTGTGAATTAATGTCTGCAGAAATAACTCGTTACGATTGTGACCGGATATAAACATGTAAATAGTTCATTACCACCGTAACTTGTTCAGCTATGAAAACTTTGTGGTACAGTTCCTGGACCCATCATGTACCTCTGTAATCTTTTGACTACCGCCCACGGGATGGGTACGGGGTGACTATCACCTACAGGATGCGTATGGGGGTGCATAATAAAGATGTTGAACTAAAACTTCACACAGCAGTGCACAACTTTGTTACGATAACACATCAAGGACCCAACTAGAGAAAGAGGACCTGACGAACAAGCGAGGCTGCATTTTGGTTTCTTCTTCAGGAAGTTTGACTAAAAGAAAAGGAGCATGTTTTCACTGCACGCTGACACTATGCTACCTTTGGGATGTGAAACTGAGTCAAGGTGAAGACGGAATCTAACAGGCTGAGACACAGACAAAAATGGAATGCTCATCAGAGGATGAGCTTAGACAAGAGGCCATGGTTCAATTCACTATACTTGCTGAACATGTATGCTTCCCTATGTTTGGCGGCATCACCCTATTAGGTACTACATTAGTACTGTCTATAGCAACGCAAGCCAGTGTTTTTTTTTTATGCATGCATTCCTGTCGTATGGCCGGTGGCACCTCTGAGTGGGAATCAAATGACAAATCAGAATATTTTCTCAAACTGGGCAGTTGCAAGGCTCCGTTTAATGAATTTACACAGTTTAGACCAGGTAAGATCATCTTGGTCGGGTATCACACCTTGCCGCGAACACGTTTGTGCTTGTGAACAGAGGTAGTGAGGATGGAAACCACTCCATTGTGGAGCGACTGTGATTCTTAATATGTGTCAGGTATAAGGATAGTTAAAATGAATCCCTGGAGTAGAGGCCATTCACGTTTTGAGAATAGACGCTCTCGTATTTATATCTTGCACGCACCCTGGAGCAGAGCTTCGGCAGTACTTTTCACGCTGGGGTCTTAACTAGCAAGAACTAAGAGGGCATCCAACTGACTGGTATTCCGTGAAGTTGAGTCACTTACCCAAGGTGAATTACCTAGTTCCTTTATTAGAATTTACTTTTCTAATTCAGCGGATGCTGAGGAAGACAGGAAGGTTGGCTGTTTAGATCGCAGTTATCTTTAGTCACTCCATCTTCCATTAGTATATAACAATATTCGGAGGAATCACTAAAAGAGGAGCAGATAGAGGTCTAGGGAGCAATACATTAAGGGCAAATGGAGGGAAAGGGAGCACTGTCTGTAGGGCAGATGGTGGTAGAGGGAACGATAGAGGTGCGGGAAGAGGTGGGAGAGACACGTACCTGCTACAGGTGCCACAGAAGTAAGAGAGATATGAGAATCTGGAGGCTGAGTACAAGCCAGTCACTCCCCCCTCCCTTCCATCCCCCTACTCTATTAGGTACCTGTTTCAAACCCCACCTTCATCCCTCATTTGCCTTCCTGTTTCCTTCAGATGGCTTATGTGAAACACATTAAAAAAAAGTGTCCCTTGTGAATTTCTCCTCTTCAATCACTCTGAACCTTAGGGCTACGACACTGTTTTCTGTGATTTTATGCCTTAACTCATTCGCATTTATTTAACAATTTGTCTAGCCCTTTGACGACGAAATTGTGTGAACGTAGACGTTGTTGAATGAAATGGCTGACAATGGAGTATTCAATAGATAGTGTTATCAAAAGAATTTTATCTTGGGTACCCAGAGCCAGCCCGGCACTGTACACCAATGCTTCATTGTCTCTCTCGAGGAACTTAATCTTTTGTCATTGACAATTTAATGGAATTTTTAACCGATGATAGTTTTCTTTACTTGGTCTTGTAGTATTTATTTGTAGTTTTGTCCATGGTGGTTTATAGTATTTGTTAGTTTAACCTTGGATGTTCTTATGTGTGTTTTTTTTTTATTGCCAAGAGAGCTGAGTGGTCTAAGTTAAAGACCTACCCTGCTCTGGGCGGTTGGCAGGCCGCCTACCCTCCGTCAGGGCAGTTGACTGTCCGTCATTCATTCATCTATGAGGGGGTGGCAGAGGCAGTCCACCCACTACTATGTAGTTGACCGAGGCGTTCTCCCATCAGGAGCATTAAAGAGTTTCTTTCACGATGTTCAAGCTGATTGTCGCCACGCTAGTGGTATGTATTCTCAGGCATGTAATGTAGTTTCAAATTGTCTAGAGGATGTTGCGACAATGAATCTTCATTGTCTATATGTAGCTCATCAAAGACAGTATTTCACTGGAGTTACTATTAACTGGGAATTCCCATCTCTCCGAAGGCCTGTTCTATACAAGAGAAATCCATTTTTTTTGACTATATATTCTTCATCACAGAGCGGGGCAACACAAATTTTGTGTAGGAGAGAAAAGAAACAGATGGAGACGAGGAGAAGATAAATTTGGATTGCATTATATATCTAAGAATGCATACATGCAAATACGGTAGGAAACTGCTGGTGATCTGATGGCTAAAGCTCTCGCTTCACACGGCGAGGGTCTGGGTTCAATTCCAAGCCAGGGTAGAAATATTGGGAGTGTTTCTTTACACCTGTTGTCTATGTTCACCCATCAGTAAAATGGGTACCTGGGTGTTAGTTGACTGGCATGGGTCGCATCCTGGGACACTGACCTACTTGTATTCTTAGGCCCCCCGTTCCTCCGTCAAGCCCCTTCTCTCTCTCGTGTCCTTGTTTCTTGTCTCTGCCTATATTCCTGTCCCTGCCTCTCGATCTGGTCCCCGCCTTTCTGTGTGGCCCCCGCCTCTTTGTCATGCCCACCCTCTCTGTCTGGCCCTCCCCTCTGTCATGCCCCGCCTCTGTCTAAAACTACCTCTCCTATCCATTCCTACCTCTTTACCCGACCCCACGCCTCTCTGCCATGCCCCACCTCTGCGATGCCCCGCCTCTCTGCCTGGCCCCGCCTCTCTATCATGCCTCGCCTCCCGTCAGGTGGAGGTGGGTGACACAACAGGTGAGACAGGTGAACCAATATTCAGTGTTTCGCCTGCATCACCACCCACCTGTACTCCTAGGTAAGTTCCCATCTCTCACTAGTACATTGTAACTCATTCTGTAAAGCACAAATATATATGAAATAATATTTTAAATGGTAGCAAAATAGAAACATGTAATAAATTTACCCTGACAGAAGGGCGATGATTAAACCTTTTTTACGTGGTGGAAATATCGTGATCTGTGCTTCTTAGTTGCTACCAGCCTACCAGCCTACCAGATTATATATATTTCGTATGCAAACTTCAGTAGGTCATTATACCTCTCAGTCATAAGGCTTTAATGACCTTGACAGTCAATAGGCCCAATGCCCCTGTCATTCAAAGGCCTTAATTATCTTGATAGTCAATATGGCTTAATGACCCTGGTAGTCAATAGCCTTAATTAGTCTCTTAATAGATTTTAATGACCTAGCAGTCCGTAGGGCTTACTGGGTCTGATAGCCATTAAATGACATGCCAGTCAGTAGGCCTTGTTGAACCTGTATGTTAATACTTTTAATCGAAAGTAGCCGTTGTGAGTTCTTGTTCAGCACAGTCTTCCTCTTCCTACTACCAGCATCCTCGTTTGTCTTCCTTGACCTCCTGCAGCAGGATGGAGGAGGACGCGGAGTCGCAGTCGAACGCCTCGAGCACCTCCTTAGAGGAGACCACCTTGGTCTCCGTCAAGGTGGGCTGGTTCTACTTCAACCCGGTGTCCAGGAAGGGTCGCGCTCTTCATCTGTTACAGGTGTGTGTGTCCCATCGAGCGGGGTAAATTGATGCCGTTGAAGGACTCGTGATCCAAGGAATTGGAGCTAATCTTTCAGTTCTTTGATCCGACATGATTACCTCCCATTCTCAGGTACAATAATCTTGTGTGTGTATGTACTCACCCATTTGTGATAGCGGAGGTCGAATCTCAGCTTATGGCCCTGCCTCTTAAACTAACCACGACGAGTATTGCTCATAGCTTCGCGAACCCTATCATGCATATTTTTAAAGCTATATAAATTCTGCCTCGTCCATTTGTTGTCTAGGTTATTCCGCTTCCTGACCACGCTTGAGGCTAAAGAAATATTTCCTGACATCCCTGTGACTCATCTGTGTTTTTAACTTCCAACTGTGCCATCTTGTACTTTTTTTTTTTTTTTGGTTTTCCCCAACTGTTTCCATTCTTGTCCACCCTATCAATGTTTAAGTATTTTGTACGCCGTTATCATGTCACTTGATCTCTATGTGTGTGTGTGTTACCATTTTGTCCTAGGCACGTGTGTGTGTGTGTGTGTGTGTGTGTGTGTGTGTGTGTGTGTGTGTGTGTGTGTGTGTGTGTGTGTGTGTCGTCATGGTTGCATGTTTGTGTTTGTGTTAGGTAATTTTTTTAAAACTATATAATATAGGAACTTTGGTGGACCGACCTCATGATTTCGTTCGTCAGGACAAAGCTTTAAGCTTAAACATTCATCTATTCTATTCTCCTAAGAGTGAAACACTGCCTCGCTCGCTATTGTTTGGACTTTTTTTGCTTTAAAGCAATTCAGTGATACTTGTTCATTGCACGGTACAGATGTTGGTGCTGCCCTTCATCCCCATCGTGGCTCTCATAACCCAGAACTGTATAGCCATGTCCAACGCTCTCAGGAACCAGGCTGCGGTCAGCTCAGTCGCTGTCCAGGTGCGTGTATCTCTGCTCATGTTATCTATTAAAAATACAAGAGCCACAAATAAACTTCCAGATCAAAAAATAGTAGCGGTGACAACATTAAAAAATACAAAAACTTAATTTCACTACATGCACACAAAAGAACAGCTAAAAAGCTAACACCTTCATTCTTCCTCCCGTACGACACTAATTAGTGTCTCATTTACTGGTGTCTTCCCCACATCTCAATGCCTATCCATGTGATATAAGCTGGAAATATTTTTCCGTTCATAGCAACAATAAACAAGTAAACTGGTGGGTGATTTTAGTGTGTGCGGGTTCCAGTAGGTTCAGCATGCTGTAGACATCGGGTTGTTGCTGCGAGCACTTCAGCTGGAACGAACTGAGCTCTGCTACTATGTCCTCTCCAACGCCTCCAGCACCTTCAGGTGGGTCACCACACACGTGTCCCAATTACTTCCCAGTCTCTGCTGTGGTTTAAAACTTGAATACGCTGGAAGACAGAGCTAACAAACATACTTTATAAACCACACGTGTTTAATGATTCTAGTTTCTAAGAGTCTCAAAACTAGAATCACTAAATATATGCTGCCTGTAATATTTACACAAGAAAACTCTACCATCGTTCAGCATGTTAAAAATATCACCTAGATCATACACTATGAACATGCATTCTTGGTGCTTCAGGCACAGTATTATTTCTTTATGAGAATTTTAAGCGTATGACGTGCAAAAATACCCAAACCGAGTGAAAACATCTTTCATTTTATTTTTTCTAACCTTTCGAAATCTCAAACTCCAGCATTAACGGCTAATGGAGAAAAAATATTACGTACACACTTCAGAATGAACATCACCAACGTATACCAACACACCAATGGTACCATCGAGGGGGTGCAGCGATGGCCCAGCTTCCACAGGAACATGCAGCGTAGTAGGATTTTCCAGTCTCGCGTCAGGTTCCAGATAAGACTCCAGGATTTCAGGTGAGTCAGTAGTTGCATTTTTTTTGTATTATTATATCTTATGCTTTAATTGAACCCATGTGGTGTCATGTAGCTCGATCGCTAGCTCACAAGCTCACACTCTGAGGTCCGGGAATCGATCCCTGGTACGGCTGGAAACATTAGGGCGTGTTTCCATAAGACACCTGCTGTCCATGTTCACCCATCAGTAAAATCGGTACTTGGGTGTTAGCCGACTGGTGTGGGTTGCATCCTGGGACAAAATCGACATAATTTGCCCGAAATGCTCAGCATAGCAAGTTAGGCCTATATACCATGTACATGTACTTGTAGAAATAAAGGCATTATATTGTATTATATTGATCGCAAGACGAGGTAGAGGTTCGATTCCTCGTCCGCTAATAAGATAGAATGTTATGTTGCCGTTGGTTAAGCCATTCTAGATGTGACCTTAGCGAAGAAGACTGAGGTGTATCTCAAGGCTACCTCATCCATCCACCTTTCATTAAACGAAGATGAGTACTGTAGTATGTTAATGTTAACTCAGGAGGAATTGTCATTACTCTTATTACCATCATCATTGTGAACAAAAAAAATATTTGCATTTAGAATCATCAGATAATTATATTTTTAACGTGGGACTAATATTTTGTTTATTATTGAAAGTTATATACAAGCTTAAGTTGAATTATGAAGTTATCACAATAACTTTCAAGAGGAAAACTCATATATTATATATATATATATATATATATATATATATATATATATATATATATATATATATATATATATATATATATATATATATATATAAATTAACAAACAGTGGCAACCGATTTGTATTATATTTGTTTTATTTATAATTATAATTATTATTTTTATTATTATTCCTATTACTTCTGTTATCAAAAGCTAGCGCTAAAATCATATAATTTATATACCAGTTGAAAGGTAGAGCTTACAAAACGATAACATTGCTGCAATACTGAGTAGACACACCAGCTCCAGAGAGAGAAACATGGCGAAGAAAGTAATCCCATTAGTTGAATATTTATTGAGATGCTAGGATGAGCCTACGTAGAATGTTAGTGTATGTGAAGATGCCGGTGAGGGGCTCTTGATTTGAGGAGTTGCACCCATCTTCCTTGGATAAACCCAGATGCTGTATGACCATACTAGCTTAGCGCTTCTCCATGAATGTAATAATGTGTAAACGAACGCATATGTGACTGACTGCAGGATAACTTGTACATATAGAAAAAAAAAAACGAAATACGAGCGGTGGACAGTAGTCTCAACTGTAATATTAAGAATTCCTGTGTGAGCATCAAGACGACCAATAAGATAGGTCACGCACAGGGCTAATACTCTTCCTGGCTCCTGCTGATTGAAAATTAGATTGTCTCAGACATACCAGAGGCAGCCAAGTAAAAGAGCAGAAAAGTCAGAAATTGAGAATATTTGCATTATGTTATAGGTGACGATGATCTCGCCTAGTTAGTTACCTTATTTGCTCCTTGAACCAGGATTTATGTAGGCTTGAGAAATCCTGTTTTACAAAACGTAGGCAAAAAAAATATATTTGCTATATTATTTGGCGTTGTGTTTACATCCTCGTCTGAACGTGGTACCTGAACAATGGTACCAGGCATATAAAACACAACAGGGTTTTTTATTTGGGACGCTGTGTTCTGAAAAGCAGGACATACTTACAGGTCGATGAAACATATGAGACACCTACACACGCACAGCCTAATACTTTCAAATTATTATATTTTCTTTATTATGATTTGTATTATTTTATAATTATTATTATGTATTATTATTATTATTATTATTATTATTATTATTATTATTATTATTATTATTAATTATTATTATACCTAAGCGAAAGCGTTAAACCCATTTGGTATACAGCGCTAATTTAAAATTACATTGATGGGATAAAGATAGAAATGTTAAAAGCAGGTGGGGATATAGTTTTGGAGTGGTTGGTGCAATTATTTAATAAATGTATGGAAGAGGGTAAGGTACCAAGGGATTGGCAGAGAGCATGCATAGTTCCTTTGTATAAAGGCAAAGGGGACAAAAGAGAGTGCAAAAATTATAGGGGGATAAGTCTGTTGAGTATACCTGGTAAAGTGTATGGTAGAGTTATTATTGAAAGAATTAAAAGTAAGACTGAGAATAGGATAGCAGATGAACAAGGAGGCTTTAGGAAAGGTAGGGGGTGTGTGGACCAGGTGTTTACAGTGAAACATAAGTGAACAGTATTTAGATAAGGCTAAAGAGGTCTTTGTGGCATTTATGGATTTGGAAAAGGCGTATGACAGGGTGGATAGGGGGGCAATGTGGCAGATGTTGCAGGTGTATGGTGTAGGAGGTAGGTTACTGAAAGCAGTGAAGAGTTTTTACGAGGATAGTGAGACTCAAGTTAGAGTATGTAGGAAAGAGGGAGATTATTTCCCAGTAAAAGTAGGCCTTAGATAAGGATGTGTGATGTCACCGTGGTTGTTCAATATATTTATAGATGGGGTTGTAAGAGAAGTAAATGCGAGGGTCTTGGCAAGAGGTGTGGAGTTAAAAGATAAAGAATCACACATAAAGTGGGAGTTGTCACAGTTGCTCTTTGCTGATGACACTGTGCTCTTGGGAGATTCTGAAGAGAAGTTGCAGAGGTTGGTGGATGAATTTGGTAGGGTATGCAAAAGAAGAAAATTGAATGTGAATACAGGAAAGAGTAAGGTTATGAGGATAAAAAAAAGATTAGGTGATGAAAGATTGATAGATGGAGGAGAGAGTATGGAGGAGGAGAATGTATTCAGATATTTGGGAGTGGACGTGTCAGCGGATGGGTCTGTGAAAGATGAGGTGAATCATAGAATTGATGAGAGAAAAAGGGTGAGCGGTGCACTTAGGAGTCTGTGGAGACAAAGAACTTTGTCCTTGGAAGCAAAGAGGGGAATGTATGAGAGTATAGTTTTACCAACACTCCTGTAAGGGTGTGAAGCATGGGTGATGAATGTTGCAGCGAGGAGAAGGCTGGAGGCAGTGGAGATGTCATGTCTGAGGGCAATGTGTGGTGTGAATACAATGCAGAGAATTCGTAGTTTGGAAGTTAGGAGGAGGTGCGGGATTGCCAAAACTGTTGTCCAGAGGGCTGAGGAAGGGTTGTTGAGGTGGTTCGGACATGTAGAGAGAATGGAGCGAAACAGAATGACTTCAAGAGTGTATCAGTCTGTAGCGGAAGGTCGGCCTAGGAAAGGTTGGAGGGAGGGGGTAAAGGAGGTTTTGTGTGCGAGGGGGTAAAGGAGGTTTTGTGTGCGAGGGGCTTGGACTTCCAGCGGGCATGCGTGAGCGTGTTTGATATGAGTGAATGGAGACAAATGGTTTTAATACTTGACGTGCTGTTGGAGTGTGAGCAAAGTAACATTTATGAAGGGATTCAGGGAAACCGGCAGGCCGGACTTGAGTCCTGGAGATGGGAAGTACAGTGCCTGCACTCTGAAGGAGGGGTGTTAATGTTGCAGTTTAAAAACTGTAGTGTAAAGCACCCTTCTGGCAAGACAGTGATGGAGTGAATGATGGTGAAAGTTTTTCTTTTTCGGGCCACCCTGCCTTGGTGGGAATCGGCCAGCGTGTTAATAAATAAAAAAAATAATATTGCCGTATCGTAATATATCGTCAGTACTGCATTTTAATAAAATATAACTCAATTTCAGCGAGGTATTACCATAGCCTAGTCAGATAACGCTGTATATAAAATATATATATATATAATATATATATATATATATATATATATATATATATATATATATATATAATCATTTAGTGATCATGAACGTTGTGAGAACTTTAAGCCTACTCATTCCTTGTATAGCCAACCAAACTATTCACTCAAACCCATTTCGTTCATAAATAATTTGTATAATTTCGATCTTATGATAATTATTATAATTTTGAACTCGTATTTTTTTGTATTTGTAGTTATGAAACTGACGGCCACCTATTACCTTATTTTTTTTTTTTGGGTAATCCCGGAAACTGTTTGGAATAATTTGTATATGGAAATGGGTGATATTGACATTCACAGTTCCTGCTGTCATGTTAGTGGTCACAGTAATGCATATCGTGTTTCCTACAGGGACTCCATCAACCCTCTGGAGACACACGTGACCAAGGTGGTGTCCTGGTACAATGAAGCCAATTTCATCCTCCTAAGCGTCCTCATGTCCACCATTAACACCGCAGACGCTTCCAGTATATGGCAGTGAGTAGCAACATAATATTTATGTTGAAGATTATTAAGACACATGTACAGCAGTTGGGTATCTTTATTGGTGTAAACGTTTCGCCTACATGGTGGGCTTCTTCAGTCAAATACAGAGGGAGCAGTAGTAATGAAATAAAGATTATGTAATCAGTCCATCAACCTTGGAGAAAAAGTATAGAGCTGAACTCTTCTCCAGGCTGAGGGACTGACCACCTCAAATACTTTTTCTCGAAGGTTGATGGACTGATTACGTTATTTCTATTTCATTACTACTGATCCCTTTGTATTTGAAGAAGCCTACTATGTAGGCGAAACGTTTCATCAGTCAAGATATCGAACTGTGTTGCACATGTGTCTCAATGTTCAACTTGTCGGTATTTTATACCATTTTCAAACCATAATATTTTTCTATTTATCCTGCAAGTTCATATAGATATGCAACGGTTTACAAATTATCCTTTAATAATTTTTTTTCATAAAATTTTGAGTTCTTAATTTAGTTTCCTAGCACTTTATACTTTTGTTTTCATTGCACATAACGGAGTAACGTTGATTTTGCCATTGATATTTTGTTTTATTAACGATGTGATTTTATTTTATATATCTGGTCTTCATATCAACGGAATGCTAAACACACAATCTGCTGTATTTTTTGTTTGTATATAACACTCCATGCAAACATTAACTTAAGCTTTGCGTCATCTTGATAGCCAGTAAATCTTGCCGTCAGAACCTTGGTCGCTTACCAGAACGTAATGCAGTGTGAAGAACAATTCGGGATCTCACTAGTGTACGGAGCAGCTTACTACCTGGTTGGAGGCCTCGACAGCAAGAGTTACCTCACGTGGGTCGAGTCCACTGCCCTGGCTGGGTACTGGCTTAACCAGGCACTTGCCCTCTCACCAAAAATCGAGCGTCGCCTTCGGAAGAGAGGTTTCCTGACCCACCTTGCCAAGAGGATTACCGAAAGGTCTGTGTCGTGTTTTTTCTTCTGTAGCATTATTATGCATGTATCTGGACAACTAAATTGAGATTTTTATTGCATTTTCAGGGAAAATTTGACATTTTTCAGTTCGTATTTTTTAATAATCCATTAGTTATTAGTGTTTGAGATAGTTTATTGATTTTGTGTTGTATTAAAAAGGATTTTAGCATGTGTTAGTTACTGATACTATAACTTGTGTTTTTATATGCTCCATATAGTGTTTATATAAAAATCTGGGCAAATTTCTTCTGCCCCTCTATCCGAAAATTTTCACCCCACGTGCATATGATGAAGTGACTAGGTAATTGGAGGTAGTCAGGTTTAATCCAAGGAAACGGAGGGAGGCTTCAATTCCTTGAATCAAGAGTCCTTCAGATCTGCAACGCTCCTCTATTTATGTTTTAATGATCAACTCACGCTGCATGTTTAGATGGGCTCCACATGTACCCGGAGCTTATATAGAAATGGGAAATTTCGCGTGTATAGGTGTACAACTTATGATTCCTATCCACTACAGTGATTACAGGAGGAGATACAGCCCACTGGTCATGAATTCTGATGATAAAAATATAATGAACACTTGTCAATATGTGAAATACCTTTCACCATCGGTAACAGAAATTGAAATGAAACTGTGCCGTATATTTTGACTCCAAGCTGGAGTCATCAGCGGAATGGACTATAGTGAAAGCAAGGTTACATGTATAGGGGTTACAGTTAGGTGAATAGATAAATGCAGCGCTGCAGTAAGCTTACCGATCCATGCCATGTCTCAAATTCAAGAAACTGTGCATCATATCCTCTTAAAAACCTGCTACACTCTTGTTTACTGTAAAATATCGAATATTTTTCTTCGGCCCGATGAAGAAGGAAATTCGAGTTCGTTAACTACTTTCTTCATCTCTTTACTACAAGGATGACATTGCATTGTGTGTCTTTATTCCTTACATGGATGACATTACATTGTGTCTCTTTATTCCTTACAGGGATGACATTATAGGCAACAAAAAGCGCAACGGATCGGTGGAGGCTGCCGACATCTTTATGCAGGAGAGCGCTGCCTTTTTAACCTCTATCAGAGATGTTGAAGCTTCGCTTGTCGTGGATATAAGGTATGAAGGTCTTTATTGTGAAGTGCATCCCCACAGAGAAGTGAGGTTACGTGTTACATCCTAAAAATGCAGGAATACTGTGTCGTGTAGCCCAGCATTGTGATCAGATATTATACTATCCACAGAGAGAATTGGAAGGTAGATGTTATACTACTACAGAGGTGAGGTTAGGTGTTATACCATTCACAGAAAAAATGAAGTTAGGTGTTATACTACCCAGAGAGATAAGGTTAAGACCTGTTTAAATCGCAGAGAGGTGACGTAAAGTGTTGCATACTCAACAGAGATGCCATCAACGGGGAACTAGAGGTGGCTGACAGGCAGTACACCCTGGCGCTAGTAGTCCTGCTTCTAGTTCTTCTAATCTCTCCAGTCATCATCGTCTTGGCCAGAAAAGCTACTAGCCTCATCCATGTGAGTGTGGGCAGCAGAGGGACAGGAACACAGCTAGTTTATACACTAGGCACAGTACTTTATTATATTATTGATGGCATACACTACCAACAAGGTGATTAAGACGTGCAACATTTTTTCACATTTGTCTTATTCATCAACTTGTCCGTATTTTTTACCATCAGTAATATGATACATATCTGACACAGCAACACCATGATGTCATTGTACATGAAAATTCGTTTTAAAACTCCTTTGCTGAACCAATGTTTAGCATGACCTACTTCCACTTGTGGGCCACGCCCACCTGTAACGCCAATTCCAGCTGCTTCGTCTCTTCTCTACTCTTAGCATATGAGGTCTGGTTGCATGCCTGTGCTTGAGGTTTCAGGGACTGACTGCCCTCCACCGAGGGTGAAGGACTGGTAACGTCAAAACTACTGCTGCTTCCAGAATGCTACAGCTTCATGTATTCGACTGTAGAATCCGGTTGTGCAGGCGTAACATTTCGGCAATAAAGATACCCAAGTGTTGCAAAATTGTCTTACTCGTCAACTAGGCACAGTGCCCAGGGCCTACGAAAAGTCCTTATCTTACGTAAATTAATCAGAGAAAACTGCTAAACTAGACTAGCTACTTTATTTTTTTATGAGAGTATAAGCTTTATTGGGACAACGTTTCGATCTATTCAGGTCTTATCAAGTCAGATTATATAAAGAAGATCGAATCGTTGTCCAAATAAAAATTTGTTCGGCAAAGTTTTTTTTAGTTTAATATTTTTATTATGTACCCCGAATGTGTTTTTTTCACTATTGTCAGCAACACGCCTGTTTACACCCTAGACAGTCCAGATTAGGGAAGGGAGTATGGTAATGTTGTAAGATATTAATCTTAAGATTCCTGGTTTAAAATAAGGAAAGACTTCCCCGCAGGTGTACTCTTACGACCTGCTTCTCAAATCAGCCGAAGTGAAGAAGGAAAAACGAAAGAGTGACAATCTTCTGTATCAGCTCTTGCCACGCACTGTCGCCCATTACCTCAAGCAATCCAAGCAGGTACCAGTGACCTAAATCGCTTATTACTGCATTATAATAACAGAATATAATTTTACTAAGCTCATGGGAAAAAGCCTATTAGGCCCAAGGATTTGATGAAGCTTCATTTACGTTATGAAGTTTATTAAGGCAAGGATTATACAAAGCTTTACTAATGTCCTTTTCAGAGGTACCTTGATGCTGGTAAAGGGACTCTATATCCAAGAAACTTGAGTCAAAGCCAAATGCCTCTCATTCCTCGGACGCTGCATGACCCCTAAGGGGTTTAACGGTTCACAAGATTAAAAAAAAATTCACTCTGATGTGACCTTTATCAAGTACAGGGATTTGATATTTAGGCTTACTAATAAGTTAAGCACTGCCCAATAAACGTTAGCCTTTTTTAAGTGTATGTTTTACTCTGTTGACAATTTGTCTTCATCCACAACTGGGAAGGTTGAATTTAGTATCTACCATAATGTATAATGTGACGCCAGATCTCATAGTACAACAGTACACGTACAAGATATGTTTAAAACTATTTTTATCAGCCCAATTTCTGAGAGTTCTCTCATGCCGAACTTGTAAATACAGCATGCCTACCCACATCATTTTTGTTATATATAATTGCGCTAAAACTATCATACCTGTTGCTAACAGGACCATGGGAAAAATGCTCCACTAGCATCTCAATGCTTGCAGGTTCCAGCAGAGTATTTCGAGTCTGTCACTATTTATCTCAGCGACATCGTGGGATTTACACACATTTCATCAGAGAGCAGTCCTTTACAGGTGAGTGAGGTGAATACACAACGTTCACCACATATTATATGTTGGTTAGAGATTGGCAGCCGCACGTCAGGGGTAGAGAGTCAAGGCCTGTCACATACATAAATATCTGGAGCGACTTTGTGCTGCCAAGGACATAACTAAACAAATAAGTTTCAATTTTTATGAAGATAGTAATGAAATCTTTGTGAGACTCTTAATGAGCTACTTACTGGGCTATCAAGTGATCAAAAGCAAAGTTACGTGATTTTCTTTGACGAATAAGCAAGCGGTGTCTTTCAAGGTATTGTACATCAGGTGGGATAACCAGTGGTGTTGTCTGATCTTGTTTCAGTTACTTTAGTTGTCCCGCCTGAGTGGCTAGGTTATTGTGCATCTCATGCTCACCGTGTTAGCTGTAACGCAAAAACAAAGCAGGATTACGAAGGTGACAATGGGTCTTTATCAGACCCTACTGGGCATGGTTACACAAAAAAAGTATGAGTCATTTTGTTTATTACAATTACCTCGTGTAGATAATGTTCACAAGACAATATCGTCCTGCAGGTGGTGACTCAGGTCTCTCTACAGGTGGTGACGCTGCTCAACACACTTTATAAGCAGTTTGACTCCAGCATTGAGAAATACGACGTCTACAAGATGGAGACGATCGGTGATGCTTACATGGTGGTATCCGGTCTACCCAACAGGAACGGTCAGTGTTTCATTTTTTTAATTTATAATTATATTTCTCTCTCACTTCACTTGTCCTATTACCAACGGTTTAGTACATCATATATCGTACTCTTATTAAATCATGTTATAGTCGTGTACCCCTGTCGGTATTGTCCTGTTCGCCTTCCCCATCTTGCACGTCCATTGTTTTCAAGTATAATAGAATTCCAACGACGAAACCTTTAAACTTCCGTAGCTGTTTAGCTTTTAGTGACAACCTTGGCGATATCCTCGTCACCTTAATGAAGTCTCTCAGCTCAGGCTAACAAACTGCATCACTTGAACCTTTCATTGCTTGTTAATTTTAAGTTAATTTTGAGCCTGCCCATAATGCTCTGCATACAAGGGGCTTTTGGCATGTACATCCAACTACTATAATTCCTTGTACAACTATGTATCATGCCCAAATAAACTATATGAATATGAATATGAAGTCCCTTCTGTGTGAGGGAGTATGGCAAGGAAACACAGCTAACCTTGGTTTCTATTGTGTAATTATCATAGAAAGGATAACAACACACTGCTGATATACCAGTTTTGTTTACTGATACAAAAATTATTCATTGGTAGACATTTCCCCTTCCCTCCACCCTCACTTTGTGCTCTTCCACTTGCAACCCTCAGGAGAGAGACACGCCTCAGAGATTGCGGAGATGGCCCTAACGCTGCTGGAGATGGTGTCGCATTTCGAGCTCATTCATAAGAAGGGAGAGATGCTCAGAGTTCGCATTGGTATCCATTCTGGTACCTGCGTCGCTGGTCAGTACCACTTCTGTATGTATTTTGGTATCTGGATAAAGAAACAAGGACAAGCCTTTGTTTGGACATGACGCTGTAAGTAATGCTTTATATGTCGAAATAAAGGCTTGTTCTGCAAAAGTGTTTTTGTTCACATAGCGGAATTATACCCTTCAAACCGTATTGAGACATGATTGGATAAGTATCGATTTTCCATAGTGTATTGCTTTATGTAGAGTATGGAAAGTCATCTCTGGATTTTATAGATAATTAGAAACTGGGTCACTTGGGCACATTTGTTCGGGGAATAGATGGACGGTGTAAACACTGATTCTCTGCACGATACTTAGCCGTCAACACATTACATAGAGCTCCCAGTGTAAATGTCAACACCATTTTAATTGAAAAAAAAATATTTAATAACTTTGGCAATAGAATAAGCTAGTGTGTGTGTTCCGCGAAAGGTCCCACTCTGTTACCATCCTGGATGGTTCATCCGCCTCATACCCAACTGCTAAAATATTTGTCATAATACCAAGGCTTAAACAATTAATAATAACCAACCAATCTGAAATAAAAACTGGACGACTCGTTCGCGACGATAAATGTTCATAATGGACCGAACATTGTTAGGTTTTCATAAATTTGTTGGTTAGTTGTGAACTGAAATATTTATTATCTGACTGCAAAATGCTTTACAGAACACTAATAAAAAGTATCTACATTCAGTCTCTTAAACTTTTTCACGCATCATTACCTCCTTTATTGATCATTACTTTTTTGATATATCACTGCCTCTAGCACAGCGTGCATTATAGTGATCACTGATAGCCCACTGATCACCCACTTCATTCTTATAGGCGTAGTTGGTACCAAGATGCCTCGCTACTGCATATTTGGCAAGACCATCACCACAGCGCACTTTATGGAGAGCAGCGGAGAACGTACGTATGTTGATCCCACCTCACCAGTACTCTTCTCACAGTTAGTCCAAGGTGAAGCCAAGGCAGTGTCTTTGCCATGAGACTTCTTATCTGATTAAAGTTTAGTCAAGTACTCACATAGTTGTGGTTACCAGGGTTGAGTCTCAGCTCATGGCCCCGTCTCTTACCTGCATACGACCAGTTTCACTACTTTCCTGCCTTGTGGATCCTTTGGTACCTACCCTTGTTTTCATAAAAGTACGTGTGTTGGGTTATCTTGAGCAGTTGTTTTGCGTGTTTTTTGTACGAACGGTTTGGGCGGTGCACATTACAATAATTTAGTTTCATTTTGTTGGTTGTTTGTTGCCATGATGCCCACAACATCAGCCATGAAGATCCACGTGAGTGAAACAACTTATAATTTACTGACGGCGACGGGACGGTACCGTCTGCAGTTCCACCGTCGCTTGCAGGTGGTCAGCAAGTATCGTATCGGCACCGGCGAGGTCAGAACTCTCTCTTCCTCCACCTCTCCCAACACTTTTTCCTAATCTCACACCCATGGAGAGACTTCTTTATGCTGGTGAAGAGCTCTTGTTTTAATAAATTAGAGATACCCTTCCTTTTGATCAGCTCTGATTACTTTTAATTCACCCAGGCCCTCTTGACCCTTACGGTTTTATCATTTCCCCATGAATACTATTTACTCATCATCCCACACTTTCAAACTAGTCTTGGGCATGACATAAGAGACTGTGGGCTATCAGACTTGAGTTAAAGAAATCAAAATTTGTAAAGTCGAGTAACTAAGCCCATTCATGTAACTGTGTGAGGATCACTCAGAGTACCTCCTCTCCTTGACAGCAGGAGACGGAACTGGACACGTACTGGCTGCTGGGACGGACCAGCCCACAAGAGGCGCGGCAGGTAGATTTGACGAGTGAATACCACACCCCGGCCTTCCTCGCCTGTGTCACAGACAGAGGAGCCAGACCCCAGCGTCACACTGCCACTTCCAGGTTCTGAGTTTGCTGCTGCCACTGCAGCTGCTGTTGCTCCATCTACTCTGCTGCTGCTGTACCTACTGCAGATTTTAATGCTGATGCTGTTGCTACTACAGCTGTTGATGCTGCTATTGTTGCTGTAAGTACCGCAGCTTTTACTGTACGTATTGATGATGCAGCTACAAAAGCAGTTGCTACTGTTGCAGTATGGAAGCGCAAAACCCATAGAGGTCGTATAAAGCACTGGGTAAAGGGTGGCAATTAGGTTCGTTCTAGGGAAGGAGAGGATAGTTCCAAATCCTTTATCTAATTCTCCTGGAAGCGTTTTAAATCTCAATTAAATCTAAGTGGAAGTAGGTTCCTGGAGTTTACCTGGAGAGAGTTTCGGGGGTCAACGCCCCCGCGGCCCGGTCTGTGACCAGGCCTCCTGGTTCGTGACAACTTACATGTAGCCTAACTCCTGGGGACACCAACCCATGTATGAGGCAGACATATCATCACGTGTATTGATATAGTAAGCTGTCTTATGAAATTCCTATATATAGTGAGACTGAAATAGTAAATTCAAAATTTAATAGGGCAGAGGAAAAGCGTTCACAGTATGTATTCAATTTTGGATGCACTTTTTAAATCGCACTTACAAAAATGCACTATATATATGTAGAAGAGCTTATTGTATCTCAACAGTATCCTTGATGAAAGAAAATGTATGGTGATTTATAATTAAGGATAGGTGTTTACCTGGAGTTTACCTGGAGAGAGAGTTTCGGGGGTCAACGCCCCCGCGGCCCGGTCTGTGACCAGGCCTCCTGGTGGATCAGCGCCTGATCAACCAGGCTGTTGCTGCTGGCTGCACGCAAACCAACGTACGAGCCACAGCCCGGCTGATCAGGAACTGACTTTAGGTGCTTGTCCAGTGCCAGCTTGAAGACTGCCAGGGGTCTGTTGGTAATCCCCCTTATGTGTGCTGGGAGGCAGTTGAACAGTCTCGGGCCCCTGACACTTATTGTATGGTCTCTTAACGTGCTAGTGACACCCCTGCTTTTCATTGGGGGGATGGTGCATCGTCTGCCAAGTCTTTTGCTTTCGTAGTGAGTGATTTTCGTGTGCAAGTTCGGTACTAGTCCCTCTAGGATTTTCCAGGTGTATATAATCATGTATCTCTCCCTCCTGCGTTCCAGGGAATACAGGTTTAGAAAACCTCAAGCGCTCCCAGTAATTGAGGTGTTTTATCTCCGTTATGCGCGCCGTGAAAGTTCTCTGTACATTTTCTAGGTCGGCAATTTCACCTGCCTTGAAAGGTGCTGTTAGAGTGCAGCAATATTCCAGCCTAGATAGAACAAGTGACCTGAAGAGTGTCATCATGGGCTTGGCCTCCCTAGTTTTGAAGGTTCTCATTATCCATCCTGTCATTTTTCTAGCAGATGCGATTGATACAATGTTATGGTCCTTGAAGGTGAGATCCTCCGACATAATCACTCCCAGGTCTTTGACGTTGGTGTTTCGCTCTATTTCGTGGCCAGAATTTGTTTTGTACTCTGATGAGATTTAATTTCCTCATGTTTACCATATCTGAGTAATTGAAATTTCTCATCGTTGAACTTCATATTGTTTTCTGCAGCCCACTGAAAGATTTGGTTGATGTCCGCCTGGAGCCTTGCAGTGTCTGCAATGGAAGACACTGTCATGCAGATTTCGGGTGTCATCTGCAAAGGAAGACACGGTGCTGTGGCTGACATCCTTGTCTATGTCGAATATGAGGATGAGGAACAAGATGGGAGCTAGTACTGTGCCTTGTGGAACAGAGCTTTTCACCGTAGCTGCCTCGGACTTTACTCTGTTGACGACTACTCTCTGTGTTCTGTTAGTGAGGAAATTATAGATCCATCGACCGACTTTTCCTGTTATTCCTTTAGCGCGCATTTTGTGCGCTATTTACGCCATGGTCACACTTGTCGAAGGCTTTTGCAAAGTCTGTATATATTACATCTGCATTCTTTTTGTCTTCTAGTGCATTTAGGACCTTGTCGTAGTGATCCAGTAGTTGAGACAGACAGGAGCGACCTGTTCTAAACCCATGTTGCCCTGGGTTGTGTAACTGATGGGTTTCTAGATGGGTGGTGATATTGCTTCTTAGGACCCTTTCAAAGATTTTTATGATATGGGATGTTAGTGCTATTGGTCTGTAGTTCTTTGCTGTTGCTTTACTGCCCCCTTTGTGGAGTGGGGCTATGTCTGTTGTTTTTAGTAACTGAGGGACGACCCCGTGTCCATGCTCCTCTCCATAGGATGGAAAAGGCTCGTGATAGGGGCTTCTTGCAGTTCTTGATGAACACAGAGTTCCATGAGTCTGGCCCTGGGGCAGAGTGCATGGGCATGTCATTTATCGCCTGTTCGAAGTCATTTTGGCGTCAGGATAACATCGGATAGGCTTGTGTTAATCAAATTTTGTGGCTCTCTCATAAAAAATTCACTTTGATCTTCGACTCTCAGTCTGGTTAGCGGCTTGCTAAAAACTGAGTCATATTGGGACTTGAGTAGCTCACTCATTTCCTTGCTGTCATCTGTGTAGGACCCATCTTGTTTAAGTAGGGGCCCAATACTGGGCGTTGTTCTCGATTTTGATTTGGCATAGGAGAAGAAATACTTTGGGTTTCTTTCGATTTCATTTATAGCTTTTAGTTCTTCCCGCGATTCCTGACTCCTAAAGGATTCTTTTAGCTTAAGTTCGATGCTTGCTATTTCTCTGACCAGTGTCTCCCTACGCATTTCAGATATATTGACCTCTTTTAGCCGCTCTGTTATTCTTTTCCGTCGCCTGTAAAGGGAGCGCCTGTCTCTTTCTATTTTACATCAACTCCTCCTTTTTCTTAGAGGAATAAGCCTTGTGCATACATCGAGTGCCACCGAGTTAATCTGTTCTAGGCATAAGTTTGGGTCTGTGTTGCTTAGTATATCTTCCCAGCTTATATCGGTTAGGACTTGGTTTACTTGGTCCCACTTTATGTTTTTGTTATTGAAGTTGAATTTGGTGAATGCTCCCTCGTGACTAGTCTCATTTTGTCGGTCTGGGGCTCCTCACATACATGTCTGAACCTCAATTATGTTGTGATCTGAGTATATTGTTTTTGATATGGTGACATTTCTTATCAGATCATCATTGTTAGTGAATATGAGGTCTAGTGTATTCTCCAGTCTAGTAGGCTCTATTATTTGCTGGTTTAAATTGAATTTTGTGCAGAGATTTAAAAGCTCGTGTGAGTGTGAGTTTTCATCAGAGCTGCCTCCTGGTGTTATTACTGCAACAATATTATTTGCTATATTCCTCCATTTTAGGTGCCTTAAGTTGAAATCCCCCAGGAGCAAGATGTTGGGTGCAGGAGCTGGAAGATTTTCCAGACAGTGGTCAATTTTTAACAGCTGTTCCTGGAATTGCTGGGATGTTGCATCCGGAGGCTTGTAGACTACCACAATGACTAGGTTTTGGTTCTCGACCTTTACTGCTAAAACTTCCACTACGTCATTTGAGGCATTAAGCAGTTCTGTGCAAACAAGTGACTCTGCAATGTACAGGCCAACCCCCCCCCCTTTTGCCTGTTCACTCTGTCACATCTGTATAGGTTGTAACCTGGGATCCATATTTCATTGTCCAAGTGATCCTTTATGTGGGTCTCAGTGAAAGCCGCGAACATTGCCTTTGCCTCTGCAAGCAGTCCACGGATGAAAGGTATTTTGTTGTTTGTTGCTGGCTTTAGACCCTGTATATTTGCAAAGAAGAATGTTATCGGACTGGTGGTATTGTTGGTACTGGGGGGGGATTTTTTTTTCCGGCATTAGTATCTGTATCTGTTGGTTTGGAGTGGAGGCCATCGACTGTGGTTCCACTCCAGGAATGACTGGATTTGGTGTACGATTTCTGCCATTTCCTGCCAGTTTTTTTTTTCCTTCCTGGCACTAAAAAACCTCTCCCTCTTGAGTGGCTGTGGCTACCCAGGTTTTCCCATGGCCTGGATGTTTTGTATCTTTTTGTCCCCTTTAGATGGTATGCCTGGCAATTTAAGTTATAGCACAGTCTTTCCTGTACTGAAGAGGTACACATTTCAGGGTGAAAAAGCTTACAGGAAGGGAGTTTGCATTTTCCTGTTGTCATATGGGCATGGCATTTTCTAGGGTGGTCATAGTTGCACGTCCCATCTGTTTTTCCAGATTTCCCATGCCAGCAGATACCAAGTGCATAGTATGTGCACAGGCTTGGTTTCCGCTTGCCTTGGGTTTCTGTGACTGTATTCCCTGTTGGTGCATGTTTCCCTGTCTTACTTCTATCCTCCCTAGCACCAACAATGGAGCTCCCACCAGTTGTTTTTGGTAATTTATCCTCACTATTGCTATTGGAGTCCTCTTGTTTGCTATTTCCTGCGGTATTTCTAGTTTGCAATATTGGTGTAGAAACACTGAAGACTTACTGTATTGAGGCTTGTTAGTTGGTTAGTTTAATATCTTTATTATTCACCCCATACCCATCCTGCGGGCGGTAGTCAAAAGATTACAAAGGTACATAATGAGTCCAGGGACTGGACCCCAAAGTTATGATAGCTGAACTAGTTACAAAGGTAATGAACTCCAGGTAGATCTGGTCACAATCATGGCAAATTACAAAGGTAATGAATTAGCCTCACTCCTATACATGGTTACAGTCATGAACAAGGCTTGTTAGCAAACCCTGTTCTGAAATTCTTCCTTGGTAGTTGCAACAGAGCTCATAGGCATGATACAAGGCACACAAGTCTCTGATATATACCCCGTGTTTGACTCAACCTGAATAAAAACTCGATGTGCATAGAAAGTTCTCTTCTTGAAGATTCCAAAGGTTTCCCATCTGTCAACCTCTTTAAAGCTATTGTTAATATAAAAACACCTACATTTATGTGATCTTTATAGCATACTATGATAAACAGATCCTGAAACCAGCTGTTTTTATCCGATCTTATCCCTGCTCTTGTTTCAGTTTTTTTCTTTCAACTCCTATATATTGTAAGATAGGCATATACTGTCTCATTATATTTTGTATTGTAATTTAAATAACTATTGCCTTTCACCCTGTAAACAGCTATATTTTTTATTGTGATTTTTTATTAATTAATCTATAACTTGCATCCGTTTTTAAAGTCCTTATTAATACTTACTCTGTATTATAGAAAATAATAAAATTAAAGGTATAAATTTTAAGTATAGTCTAAGTTTTGCCCGAGATGCTGTTGCATTCTATAGATTTTCAAAATATTTTATATCCTGTACAATAATTCTATAATATAGATTACTATTTGTATTTGACCAACATTTGTAATACTAACAGCTACAAACGTTACAACAAATGGTTTTGCAAACAAATTCCAAAAATGTCATAATTTTAAACCAAAGTATTAATGTCGAAAGTTTGTAAACCAAATTAATTAATTATCCAGTAGTAAGTTAATTTAAGGCTGCCCGAAATGCTCCGCATAGCCAGGGGCTTTTATATAAGGTATGTCATCAATGTCAACTATTTCTAAATCGGGTGTATATTGTACTTTGTAGAAATTATTATTATTAGTAGTAGTAGTATATATTGTTCGGGTACATCTTACTCAGGGGAGGTAGGTGCCGTGATTCTAGACTTATCCTCCATTTCAGTGGATTGCCTTCCATTCCCCAAGGTGCTGTTTGATTCTTTACAGGTTTAGCGCTCCTATAAAAATATAAGGACACTTGTGTCCTGTGTACTATACATTTATGATTGATGCATTAATATTCAATTTGTTGTTCTAAGAGAAATGTAATTTAATGTAATAATAAATAATACCCACCCAAGAAAAGTAAGTGGAATGTTGGAACACTTCTATTAGCACGATAAAAACGAATCAAATGAGGAAAAATTCTTCTTGTTGAGCCTTCTTGCTACCTCGCCCTGAACATGATCTACTGATTTTTTCTGGTCTTTTATTTTCCCTTTGTTGTTCACCCTTAATCCAATTTACTATGAATTCCCCAACACGAGACAGATAATAAGAATAAAATTGGTGGGAAAGTTCCTGAAATTTCCACGTGGTCGCGTCTTGGTGCAATCACAGCCTCGCAGCTGAGCCTGGACCAGCTGATAGCGACCTCATCCCAACCTCTCACATTGACTCCGACTTCACACTCCATAAAACTTCAAAACTAACATTCTAGTGAAAAATAAAATAAACTGGAATACTCTCTAGTATTTCTTGCTTTAATTGCATATTTTTTTAAATGAGAGAGTTCGCACGGGTTCTATTTTCTTTACTCATTTTAATGAGATGAGAATAGGCGAACATCCGCACGGCAACTCAACAAGTGGACGAATATTTCCTTCTTGCGTCCAGACGACCATTAAGTTTGTCACATAATGTACAAGGAATTGTGTGGTCGCTACACTCCTCACTTTACCAGCACACTATCATGGAGACCAAGCACTGGTCTACTTGCTCACAGTTTAGCACCAACTAT